CAAAAAAAAGGTTGTAAAATTGAATCGGTGGTGTGAGTGATCTGCTTTATGACTTCCACGACTTACAACCGTAAGGGGCAAGTTCCATTATGGCTGCACGTTGAGACCTGCCTGTACTTCCTCTCAGCATTTGACTAACTACTATAGGTATCCAACCTCTTTCGCTTGGAAGCTTCAATTGATATTTAATTAATGTTGCCCCAAATGCTGTTCAGGGTCCTCTGCGTAGGATGGAGAGAGATCAAAAAGTTAATATCAAAACTATGTGATGAAGTCCTTGCTTTTTTGCCCCTGCTTCCAGGCAATGCTGCAAATGGTGCAAAACTATGTTAATAAACATAACTTTGCATTTTCTGCAAGCATGGTCAATTTTTCATCATACCATTTTCTAATTAAAGTTGAAATATAATCCATTGACCGGAAACAGTGCAGTTGTTGTTAAACTGAAAATAAACATGTCTGAAAAGCAAACAATCCATTTTCTCATCTTCTTTGGAAAAGGTTAGTAAACATACAAGGCGAAAAATAAAGCTGGTTAATTCCCAAATACTTTGGCACATTAGCTTAATATCAAGGTCACCTCTGCATGTTACATTCCCACCATCCTGATACCATCCTATGCCTGGGCAAATAGGTCTGACACTAATGAGGAAAGGGCACCAGCACCACATTGAAGGAGTTGCTCACCTTGCCATAAAATAAAGATGTTGCTGGTGTGATTTATTGGTGAAAGGTACAATAGAAAAGTTATAAAGAGAACAACTACATTTCTTCATTGGCCCTTGCAGCTGCAGCTGCTGGGAATTGTACTCATCTTCTCTTAAAGGCAGGGGTGGCCTGCTGGGAGTTCGCAGGAGTCCAGGAGAACCTCTGTTCTGTGCAGTTTGGAGAACCCCCGAATCCCACTCTTGGTTGGCCCCACCCACTCCTCCCCTCCCAGGAGTCCCCATGCAGCCTGTTTTGGATGCAAGTAAGTGCAGGATGCGCGCAGAGGCTCGGGGAGGGGAAAAAACAGGCCTCCGGAGGCTGGGGAGGGCGTTTTTGACCTCCTGGAGGCAACTCCCCCTTCTATGGTGCAGGAGGTCGATTAGGCCACACCCACCATGGCCACACCCAGCCAGCAACCGGGCAGAGAATGCCTTGCTAAAAATTTTGAAGTCCACCCCTGCTCAAAGGGTGACAAATTCCTGTCACTGGAACATTATGTTAAAGAATTAACAGATGAAAATACTAATAAAACAAAAAGAAAACCAAATACATGATGTGTTTATCAATCCATTAAATCAATAACAAGCTAAATTTCAGTTAGAAGTTAGTATAATAAATGCATTTCCCCCCCATCCAAGTTCACACACTGCTGGTTAAACAGCTCTGCATGAGGGGAACAGAGAAATTTGTAAGGAATACATTATTCAGCTTTTTTTTTTCAATTATAGCCAGATTGGCTGGGAATTCTGAAACATATTTGATTGGGCATTTTAAAACAAAGAATCCCAGAAGGCAAATCTGTTTACTAGAATACTTAGAATTTGAAACTGAGACAGTGGAGTGAGAATTCTGATCTTTTGGGTATTGTGAAGATGATCTGAATTTTTATGTATAACTCGAAGGATAAAAGCCTGGATCAGTTTATTGATAATCCTTAGAATTTTCCTATATTGCTTCTTCCTGATGCTCGTAATACTGTCTTCTTTAACTTGATATGTTCAGGTGTGGTCAGAAAGTAGCTTATCTAATTCCTAGGCCATCTTGACAGCCCCAGGTTAGGGAGATATTTTATAAATAACTTACAAATTCCTCATCACCTCATCTTTGCTACCCATCTACATACCCACTCATAAATAGTACAAACCAACTAGTATTTTCCATTTGGGGAAATTTTTCATAGATATCTAGACTACTAAATAGATTCTTCAGAAACTTAAAAATAGAATAGCGGTAAATTTGACTAGATGCTGGTAGTGAAATCGTAAAAATACTTTTGTCTGTGAAAGAATTAGTTGCTTCAAACAAACAAACAAATCTGAATTTTCTGTTCTATACAACCAATTTCATTGTATACATGATGTACAATGACAATAAAGGCTATACTCTGTGCTGTAAATTGCAAATATTTGAATTGCAACAATTAGAAGGGAAAACTCTTCTTCCCTTTCCTAAGGATGGCAACTAACTTTTCTAATATCAAGGGTGGTGGTGGTGATGGTGATAATATTTACTTCCATTTTTCGCGTGCTGGGTTTCTCAAAACAAAACAAAACTTTTGTGGCTTCACAAATAGTGAAGTGGGTACATGGGACCTATAACCAGACAAGAAAATTGTATATAGTTGAGCACCTATTCCCAACACTGTAGCTTCTGGATTCTGGCCAGCAGGATTGTCTTCTGGGTATGATGGTCAAAATTATCAAGATGGCAACAGCAATAGTGCAATCAAAATTCTGCAACCTACCAAAAAATCAAGCAGATTTTCAGCTGCAAAATTGTGATTGCCATCTTGATTTTTTAATCTGTGGTTACCCTGGCTGTATTTGGCTTCGTAGCTTCTGGTTGTAAGATTCAGGCCGCATTTCTAGCAAGGAAGAAAACATTGGAGGGGCCCTTCCTTTTTGGTGCCTGAATCAGTACAAACCAGAAATGTCATGTTCAGAATGGAAGGTTAAGATGCAAGGTTTAGTTTAGTTTATTTTATTGTCATTGCACATTGTACAATCAAATTAAATGCCATCTTCAGCTTACATTATAATTATAAAAATAAAAAGACAAACACACATCCTTCACATGCTATATAATTGAAATTGAAAAGCGAATATTGCAATCATATTGCACTATACCAGTGATGGCTAACCTTTTTCCCATCACGTGCCAAAAGCGGAGGACGTGCAGGGGGGTCGTGCATGGGCGTGCCACACCCATAATGCTATGTGCGTGACCCATGCACACATGTGCGTGACAACCCCCACTCCGTGCATGCCCCTCCGCTTTTGGCACGTGATGAACCCATTTTTCGCTCTCTCCAGGCTCCAGAGGCTTTCTAGGAGCCTGGGGAGGACGAAAACAGCCTGAGGCCCGAAGCTTCCCGTCCATCGGGAATGGACTTTCGGTTTGGCCGTAGGGCTGTTTTTTGTCCCTTGGAGCCTTCATCCAGAGGATGAAAAATGTTTGCTTCTGGGGCATTTTTCGCCCTCCAGAGCCTTCAGGAAAGCCCTATTCCCAAACTTCCAGTTTGCCCATAGGGGTGGTTTTTCGGGGCAAAAAACAGCCTTAAAAGAAGGCGCAGGAGCTGACAGGGCAATGCCTCGCGTGCCCTAGCAAATGGCTCCGTGTGCCACCTGTGGCACGCATGCCATAGATTCGCCATCATGCCACTATACCATTGAATTCATTATACTGTAGTTATTACTCTGGGATAGAAGCTGTTTTTCAGCCTATTTGTCCTTGCTTTTATTATCCTGTACCAGCTGCCAGATGGTAATAGTTAAAAAAAAAGGCTGCCCAGGATGAGATGGCTCTTTAAGAATGTTTTGAACTTTCTTAAGGCAGCGGGAGCTATAAGGCTCTTCCAAAGAGGGAAGAGGGCAACCAATGATCCTCTGGGCAATGACGTTAACCCTCTGGAGCACTCTCCTATCTGCCACTGTGCAGTTGGCAAACCATACACAGATGCAGTAAGTTAGAATACTCTCTATGGTGCAGCAGTAGAAGGTCACCAACAGTTTTTCATTCACTTGTTGTTTCCCGAGAAGTCTCAGCTAGTATAACCTCTGCTGGGCCCTTTTGACCAGGGCTGCAATGTGAGTTGCCCCAAGTCAGGTCCTCTTTTATGATAACACCCACAAACCTAAAACTGGCCACTTGCTCCACTCGGTCTCCATTGATAGGTTGCTATATGCACAGAGATGGAGAGAGGAGCGTAGACCACAACGGAAGAGTTTGCAACTAATCCTGCTAGCCAAGATGATGAATTTGACTGCCTTGATTAGAGACAATACAGGTAGTCCTCAACTTACAACCACTTGTTTAGTGATTGCTCAAAGTTACAATAGCACTGAAAGAAATGATTTAATGATGTTTTTCACACGACAGTTGCAGCATCCTCATAGTCACGTGATCAAAATCTAGATGTTTGGCAACTGGTTCATATTTATGACCGTTGCAGTGTCCCGGGGTCATGTGACCACCTTTTGCAACCTTTTGACAAGCAAAGTCAATGGGGGAATCAGATTCACTTACCAGCCATGTTATTAACTTCATAACTGCAGTGATTCACTTAACACATGTGACAAGAACAGTTGTAAAATGGGGCAGAATTTATTTACCAACTGTTACACTTAGCAACAGAAATTTTGGGCTCAGTTGTCAATGTAAGTCAGGAACTACCTGTATTTGGGCTATATTTCTTTGGAGACTGCTGTTAGATTTCTTACAAGACAAGGAGACAAATCATGGCTTTTGATTTTGAGGATTAGATTTGATGTAACCAGAGAAATATTGTGCATTTAAAATTATATAGTTGTCCATATTTGACAATATGCATTCAATTAAAATTAAGACAAGAATGCATTATACATATTGGTTCTTTGGAATGTTGAGCATTGATATTTTATGATATTTTAAGTATCAGTATTATTCTTTAAAACTTAGAGGTTGTATTATTGTTTCTGTATTGAAAAAAATCAGGTCCCTATTGTTATATGTTCGATTAATGATTTTTTGTCACTTTTTAACTTATCTCATTATTCCCTTTTCCTTTTATGTTAGTTTATGTTTTAATGCCTGATTTTGAAATTTAATAAAGTTATTTTTTTTAAAGGGAAGTTTAATATGTAAAATTTCTTGCACTTTGCACCATACAGACAGATGTGAAAACCACAGGAATTCACCAATGTCTTTATTCCTCTTTGATGATTTGGGAGTAGAGCTCAGCTTAACATCTTGGGGGAAAGTTATTTGGCTGTCTGTTCTTCTTACTCAGATGGTAAATCCTGTTTATTCTGCAGGCAAAGCGGGAGCCGGCTTGGATAGAGAGAGACATGAAAACCACAGAGAAGGTAAGGCTCAGTCAGTTACATGCTCACCCACTTCTTAGGAAATATTCTTTGTTTTGCACCTGACTTTTTCAGAGAGGGCGGATGCTGTAAGATGATTGGCATCGTTCTGCATTGGACTGAAGCTGAATTAACATAGGACTTCTTGCATTCTTTCCTTCTGAGGTTATAGGCTCTCATGATGCTCTGTTTGAGCCCATGTTTGGAAGTGCAGAAGACTGGTGCATTTGTGCAGGGCAGAGGGGGGATTTTAAGTTCTTGCGTCATCTCCAAAGCAGAAGAGAGACTGAAGTTGATTTTCAGAACCAATCAGCCTGGAGAGATGAAGCTAACCTGCTATTCTGATGCACATGGCTAAAAATCTGGGGTTATTATTTCATGAAAGAAAAAGATCGCAACTGAAGGACCTATGCTAAATTTCTTGTGGTTTTAGCTGTTGAAAAATCTTAGCATGGGCCTTTTAAAAGAAATAATCTCAAGGGCCTTTGGTGTTGGATGTCCCTTAAAATTGGGGTTCCCTTTTCAAAGAGTATAAATCAAAGCAAAAACAAACACATAGCCCTTTGCATAAGATGGTGCTTTCCAAATGTGTTGACTTTTGCATCTCTACATATTCTGAGTATTTAATAAAGTAGAGCACCCCAAGTTGTGAATGGTAGATCTGAATTACATTTCTTTAGTTAGTTAGCTTTTCTTTGTTTATTTGTATTCCACGTTTATTATTTTTACACATAATTCAAGACAGTGAACATATCGTAACACATTGTCCTCTTCCTGTTTTACCCACAACAGCAACTCTTTGAAGTGGGCTGGACTGAGAGAGAATGACTGGCCCAAGTCACCCAGCTGGCTTTCATGGCTAAGGTGGGCCTTGAAGTCAGGCAGGAAACCCTANGTTCCACTGATTAATTGTTCTAACTGTCAGGAAATTTCTCCTTAGTTCTAGGTTCATTCTCTCCTTGATTAGTTTCCATCCATTGCTTCTTGCCCTGCCTTCTGGTGCTTTGGAGAATAGCTTGACTCCCTCTTCTTTGTGGCAGCCCCTGAAATATTGGAACACTGCTATCATGTCTCCCCTAGTCCTTCTTTTCATTAAACAGTCATGCCAAGTTCCTGCATATGTTCTTCATGTTTTCCCCTAATCATCTTTGTTGTTCTCCTCTGCACTCTTTCTAGAGTCTCAACATCAAACATATTGCTTGCTTTGCCAGATGCATGAGGTGATATGAAGATAGGTTTGTATGTATACAAAATGCATACTTCTGTGGAGGAGGTCCAGGGTTGGGAATGTTGTTATTAAAGACAGGAAGCCAGAAAGCCCTTCATTACTGTTTATTGGATCATAGGTCTCTGAACTTGGCAACTTTAAGACTTATGGACTTCAACTCCCAGAATTCCCCAGCCAGCATAGAGTTTAGAGACCCTGCACCGGATAAACATAAATGTGGTTTAAAAGGAGAAAAAAGGATAAGGGATCTCCCCCCCCCCCAACTTTTAGGATACAAGTCAAGTAAAAAAAAACTGGAAGGGCATAAAACATAGTTAAATCTAGGTCTCCAACAGATGGCAAGGCTTCTTTCTTTTTAATTTTCTTTCTGACTTTTAATGGATAAAACGCTCCAAGCAAGAATGCAACAATTTCATTTATTTTTTCTACATTTATATGCTGTTCCAGTTGTCAGACAGCATTAAGCAGCTTGCAGTCCTACCATGTGCATGTACAAGGTGCATATACGGTGAAAGCAGTAAACATTGCCCGCAATCGCATTTGGTAAAAATGATTAAAAATAGTAAAAATTATTATTATATACAGCTGCCAGTTCTTTAGCTGGTGTTGCCTTTCATTTGCATTGAGCTCTTTCTAAGAACCTCACAGGTCACAGTGAATTGGTATATTGTACGTGCAGATTCAAGTGGTGTGACTTTTAGTAACTGACAGATGGAAATTTTGCCAATATGCAGATTTTCTACGTACCATCCAATATTTGTAGGTCCCTCAATACGCCGATAACCACTGGGAGCACCACAGTTGGTTTATACCATAATCTTTCAATTTTCAGAACTTGATATTTTATAATTTTCTCTAATCCTTTGTCTTCTATTCTACTATCTCCTGGTGTTGCCACATCAATTATCCACACTTTCTTCTTCTCAACCACAACTGATTGATTAAGATGTCTTTGTCAGTTTATATTTGCAAATCCCACAATATTTTAATCTACTCATTTTCAACTACTTTTCCAACTCTTTGCTCTTACCACTTTTTCATTAACTGGCACATGATAATTTTTGCAGATGTTCCAATGAATCATTTTGGCTTGTTGTTCATAGTCAGTTTGTGTGATCTTCTTGCACAAGCTGAGTATGAAATCTTCTGTTTCTGCTGTGTCTTGCACAATCTGCACTCTGAATAATTTTATGGTTTTTTTTTCAATTGTGCCCTTGATGGCATTAGTTTGAACTGCTTACACTGGAGCAGCCAAAAATCAAGCCTTCAGTTTCTGAAGTTAAATATAATAGAAACCCCAACCGATCAACAGGTGCAGCAACCAGCCTTAGCATTGAAAGTAAAGATATTGGACTGGTAGATAACTTCTGTCTTTTAGGATCAACTATCAACAGTAAAGAACCAGCAGTCAAGAAATATGACATAGATTGTTAGTTTACCCACTAATAGACCAGATCAGGAAATCAACTCCACAGGAAGACTAAAATTATCTTTATTAGCATTTACTGTAATAGCAGAAACTTGTAAGTCTAATTATGCTATGCCTTCTTCCCTTTTTCATACTCCAGTAAATCAGGGACACCTCTGCTTGACCTGCTTCTGAATGTTATCTTGTTGCTGTGGATTTTTTTTTTTAAGTAGAAAATGGCTGTTCCATATTTTCATCAAAATCATGTTTTTTAAGCTTTACCCAGGGGTGGGCTTCAAAAATTTTAGCAACGGGTTCTCTGCCTGGTTGCTGGGTGGGCATGGCCTAGTCGGGCTCCTGCACCATGTCGTGTCTGTGTGTTGTTGTTGTTGTTGTTGTTTTCGCCTTCTCCAGGCTTTGGAGGCTTTCCTCAAGCCTCTGGGAGCAGAAAACTGCCTTCCCTGGGCTCCAGAGGCCCATTTCTGGCCTTTGGGAACTTCTGGAAGACCCATTTCTCCCTCCCTGAGACTCCGTGTGGTCCCTGCTCTTACCTTACAGCCAAAACTGGAGACTCCTGAGAGGGGCAGGGTGGGTGGGGCCAGCCAGGGGTGGGATTTGAAAGCGTTAGCTACAGGTTCTCCTGAACCTGGGCAAATCCATAGCAGCCCACCCCTGGCTTTACCCATGCTAGCCCTTGAAGGGGTAACAATGAAGTCCTCGGAGAAGAAGAGGCTGTGATGCAGCTATGCCGTCAAAGATCATAATCATGACGGCATCAGTTTGAGTTGTGATATTCAAATGGAAGTGAAAGTTGGATTTTGAACAAGCGGGAAAGGAAGAATATTGACGTTTTTTTAAACTTTGGTGTTTCAGAAGACCCGCAAGAATGCTATGGATAGCCAGGAAAAAAATAAAAATTAACGACTCATAGAACAAAGCAGTCCATAGTTTTCACCTGAGGCATAAATTACTATTTTCAAACCATCATATTTTATATACATTATTGAAAGACCTAGATTTCTTTCTGGGGGATGGGAGGGAAGGAACTAAACAAAGACCACCAGAAGGGTGGGGGGACTCAAATTACTGTAGCAACTGTTCCACTGTTACAAGGCCTGAAAGCCACCAGGTGGAGGTAAAACTTCTCCAGGATAATCTGTCAGGTTATTGAAAAGGACAATACCAATTGGATGGCGCATAATGAAATCAACAAATTGACTCCTTCTGACACAACCTGATTTTTTAAAAAAATATGACAGATATGACATTAATCCGAGGCATTGTAGGACATTTTAGTTGGACATCTAATTACTCAGGACTCTTCAGAAACTGAAGCTATCTGCCAGGTCAGCTTATAAGGCTTAAGCTTCACCACCTTGAATCAAATCCCTAAGAGCAGGGATGGGCAACTGTGGCAACTTGTATGACTTGTGGACTTCAAGTCCCAGAATCCCTGAGCCATTCCACAGGTCGTACAGTTTCTCAGTGGTACGTTTAAGGCAGGGGTCGGCAACTATAAACACTCAAAAAGGCACAAAAGTCCTAACCAGAAGCTGTCCTAACCTAAACAACCTAACAAAAGTCCTAACCCGTTCCATTCTGGAGCCAACCAGAAATCCCGTTCCCCCCACCATAGAGTCTCCTCCTAGCACAACATCCTTTTTCCTCTGTCCTAACCGAAAGCCCTATCAATTGTGGAGCTGATCGGAAAACCCGCCCCTTACCATAGAGTCTCTTCCTGGCAAGCTGTGCTTCTCTCCCCCCTCCCCCAAATTGGAAGCTTATCTCAAAATTGTAGCGCCGACCGGTGTCAGGGACTCAGGGAGCCACAGCAGAGGGATCAAAGAGCCACATGCGGCTCCAGAGCCGCAGGTTGCTGACCCCTGGTTTAAGGCAAGCCTGTGGTCAACTTTACTGATGCTGATCATGAGCAAAACCTTCCCAAAATTGCCCTTTCTAACTATTGTGCCAATATTCTATCTGTCCCACTTAACCCTTCTAGAAATCCTTTCTAGGGAGTTTGTGAAACAGATGCATTTACTTAAGCCTGTTTTAAAACTGCAGCTTGGTGAGTCAAGCCTGCCTGGTCTCTCCTCCTAATTGCACCTTATTGTTACCTGCTTTTGCATAAATGAAGTGCACCTGGTCCCTGAACTGGAAGAAATGAAACAAATGCCAAATAGAATTCCTTTCAAAAACATCTTTGTGTTCCTGTTTGTCCGTGGGCAGAAGGGGTCGCATGGTAATGTAGGCTAAATGGATGACTCCCTCCTCTATCTGCCTTTGTATTTTCTTTCGGCCTTGGTATGTCTCTCATTTATCATTGAATATTCATGCCTTCTTTTCTTATATGCTCAGAGCATTTTCATATGCACAAGTTCAATCAATTCACTACAAGTCTTTAAGAAGATATTGGATAGCCATTTGTCTGAAACAGTGTAGGGTTTTCTGCCTAGGCAGGGGGTTGGACTAGAAGACCTCCAAGGTCCCTTCCAACTCTGCTATTGTATTGTAAGGTAAGTATGGTTACTAACATATGCCTGATTTTTAGGGTCACAAGAATTGGCATACTTTTTGCAAACTTGGAGCCAATGTGCATCTTTGGATGCTTGTTATCTTTCCGTTTGCAGTTAACTGTGTGTGTGTGTGTGTGCCCGCGCGTGCATCAGTGTAATGTAACCAGCTCCTTGCTTACCCTGTTTTTGTTTTCCTTTTTCTTCCTTCCCATTCAGAATGAAGGTTCTGTCCAAGAATATACGATCACATACCTTGTGAAAGAAGGTTCCGAGAAGGCCGACCCATCTCAGTTTGAGCTCCTTAAAGTTCTTGGACAGGGCTCTTTTGGCAAGGTGAGGTGATATAGTTCATAGTTTAATGTAAACGGTGTGTGTTTACATTACATTGCTCCAAAACTACTTCCCGTTTCTGTTTCCCCTCAAAATTCTGCTAAATACTAATAAATACCAAATACCAAAAAATAGATGTGTTGCTGTTTCTCATCTAGACCTTTTCTGCACAGGTCTTTCTTGTCAGAAAAATCACCCCACCAGATAACGGCCACCTCTACGCCATGAAGGTCCTCAAGAAAGCAACTCTGAAAGGTGAGGTGGTCCTGACCCTGTTTTCCCAAAAATACGACAGGGTCTTCTTTTTTATTTTGACCCCTAAAATAAGCGCTTGGCTTTTATTTGATGAGATCTTACCATTTTTGAGGTGCAGGAGGCAGCGAGCGTGGTCACCTCATGGCTGCTACTGTGTTGCAATATTTTTGGGGAGGGCTTATTTTAGCGCATGTGCTCAAAAGCCCAATTGGGCTTATTATCTGGGGAGGTCTTATTTTCAGGGAAACAGGTTGCATGCTTACAAATCTAAATTTATTGGCCAGTACAATACATGCGGGACATTCATTAACTTGGCTTTCCTCTAACCCAAGGGTCTGCAAACCTGGCAACTTCAAGACTTGTGGGCTTGTTTGTTTGTTTGTTTATTCAACTTGTATGCCGCCCTATTCCCAAGGGACTCAGGGCAGCTAACAAACCAAAGGGAAGGGGAATACAAACAGAACACAAGACAAACAAGTTAAAATGAAACAACAGCCACAACGGTTTAAGTGGGGCCGGGAACTCGTCAGCCCCAGGCCTGTCGGAACAGCCAGGTCTTAGTGGCTTTGCGGAAAGCCGGAAGGGTGGTGAGGGTCCGGATCTCCACGGGGAGATCGTTNGGGGCAATATGCTGACTCTCTGTAAACCGCTTAGAGAGGGCTGAAAGCCCTATGAAGCGGTATATAAGTCTACTGCTATTGCTATTGCTATAATGGCCATCTGTGGCTCTCCATATGAACCTCCTCTCTTGTGTCCATCTCCTGCCCACCCACTCCTCCTCCCATTTTTCCTTCTTTCCTTCAAAAATTGGGATAAAGGCTGAAAAGACACACAGAAGCAGTCAGGGGCAGCTTACCTTAGTTCTGGAAGAACTCCAGATCTTGCCCACATTATTCTAAGCTTAGTTTCTCAATCAGCAAACAGAAAAAGAGTTCTTTGAAAAGAAGGGCAAAGGGGAAACTGGAGTTCCCAAGAAGTTAAATGCTCTGCCCATGTTTTGCATTTGCTGCCATGGTTCCCTATCTGTATTATTTTTATTTCTACAAGATGTTTCTGGGGCCGCAGGGGAAGGGAAGAAGCATTCTTGAGAACAACAATTGGGACCCTCAGAGAGCTTTCAGTACCTCTTACATGCTTTAAATAAAAAAAAGGAAAAAAATGGTATCAACCAGAAATTGCCTGCTCTAATGCCAAGTGTCATTGGAACAATCCCATGCAGTCACGTAAGCACATACAGGATGCTTGTGCAAGGGTTGCCTGTCATGTTGCTTTGCTGCATGTCAACTTCACATGCTTTGGTATTTAAAAGAAAAGAAACCCAATAAAAATAGAGCTAGAGTAGGCGACTTGACTTCCATTCCATCGTAACAGTTCATCCCATTTAGCATCCCAATTAGAATAGAATAGAATTCTTCATTGGCCACGTGTGATTGGACACACAAGAAATTTGTCTTTGGTACAGCTGATCTCAGTGTACATAAAGAAAAATAGAATAGAATACATTCATCAAGAATCATAAGATACAACCTTTAGTGATAGCCATAGCTTACTAATAAGCAATCAAATGGTACTGGGAAACAAATAAAACAATATAAATTGTAAAGATACAAGCAACATGATTATAGTCATAAGTGGGAAGAGATAGGTACTAGGAAGGATGAGAAGAATAATAGTAATACGATTTTAGTAGTATTTTGACAGTGTTGTTGGAATTAGTTATTTAGCAAAGTGATGGCATTTGGGGAAAAACTGTCCTTGGTGTCTAGTTGTTCTGGTGTGCAGTGCCCTATAGCATTGTTTTGAGGGCAGAAGTTGAAACAATTAATTTCTAGGATGTGTGGGGTCTGTAGATATTTTCACAGCCATCTTTTTGACTTGTGCAGTATACAGATCCTCAATGGAAGGCAGGTTGGTAGCAATTGTTTTTTTCTGCAGTTCTAATTATCCATTGAAGTCTGTGTCTGTCTTGTTGGGTTGCAGAGCAAAATTAACAAGCATGTTGACTTAGATCCAGCATACGAACACGCAAGACATCGGGCCATTCGAATGGCCAATCAACAACTTCTCAGAATTTAAATATAGCATCAAACGAACAGCCAGTCACGTGACCAACTGACCACACTAGCACACAAGACATAGCGTATTTTTCAGAGTATAAGACTCAAAAAAGTGGCTGTAAATCTGCGTGCATCTTATACACTGAATACAGCATTTTTTGCCTGAAACCCTGCCCCCTTCACCAAAATGGCCATGCAGAGCCTTTAGGAGGCTTGCAGAGTGCTCCTGTGGGCTGGGGAGGGCAGAAATGAGTGAAAAACAGGCAATTTTTTGCTCAATTTGCCTCCCCAGCCCCAAGGAGCACTCTGCAAGCCCCCTAAAGGCTATGCATGCCCTTTTTTTGAAAACAAAATGAGCCCGTTTTTGTGAAAAACAGGCCATTTTGGGGAGGTCTGCAGAGTGCAAAAACTTTTTTTTTTAATTTGCCTCTTCAAAATCTTGGAACATCTTATAATCCAGTGCATCTTATACTCCAAAAAATACGGTATATAAGTTAAGGAGGAGTAGAACAAGACACTTTGACCAAAGTCACACTGATGATGTTACCTAGCCTGGTAACGAAACGTTCGAGAGCTAAATGGCAAGCTCAGAAATTAAACAATTGCCAAAGCTTACCCTATTGCATAACCCTGAAATGAATGACTAAATCTTGCTGTTATTAGAGAGGAAATTAACTCTTTCAGGGAGCAAAATTGCTGAAGTTATGGGTAGAAACTTGGTCTTAAATAAAAAATAAAACTGGGACGTGCGAGAGTTGACGTGTTTGAAGTTTACATACCACAACCCGTGGTACAGAAGAAGTGGAGGCAGGAAGCCCTGTTTTAACCTCCTTTGCATTTAGAGCTAAGCAGCCTCCACACTTCCGGCGGGTTTGCTTTTATGGTGGGAGCGGGTCCTCTGTGAAATCAAGTGCGCCTGATCGGATGGTGTGCCTGTAGCCTTCAACCATGTTCCTGTAGGGATCTTGCAGCTGGAGATGGGCTGTTTTGACCAGGATGGGGACAGTGGAAATGGCTAAGCAGCTCAAGCTTCCTTGCCTGTTTGCCTTTCTAACGCAGTTGACTCTGGGGAAACGGCGTGCCGAAGCCTGCAACCTGTCCTTGATTTCTGCTAGCAATGTCAGTAACCCGGTTAGTAGAGCACGCCAGCTCCTCTCTGGTTACGCGTGTCTGCTTGTTTGCTCATGAGTTGGGGCAACGAGGCAGCTTTAGGGATGATGAATGGTGAGGTGGATTGGAAAAATTCTTATTTTGGGTAGTTCTCTCAGCTGCATAGGAGGATCTTTATTTCAGCTTTCTCCAGGCCGGCATGCTCTGGGTATCTTGATCCATAGCTTTTACAATTGCTGCCCTATAGCTAAAGTGGGTTAAAATTATGGGACTTTTCCACTAGTGCGATAGAAGCTGGGAAAAAACTGTAGTAATGGTGAGGAACATAGCCAAAAGTTTCATCCTAGGTGAACAGCTGGGTTGGATGGATCATGATTGTGTCGGAGAAACACTGTCCCAGTCAGGAGGAGGGGTCAAGCGGGGAATCAGTCTGGAATTGTTAAGTAGAGACAAGAGGGCAAATCCTACCTCCCTTGGATGCTGTTGAACCTTATCTAGTCTTTCCCAGAGGCAACTGCCAGTTGCTGTGAAGTAGGCATTGAACAATGAAGCAGATAGTATATGCTGTATCTCTGTGGGTCTGATTGTTCATGTGCGTCTGATTGTTCTTGTGGGTCTGATTGTTCGTGTGGGTCTGATTGTTCACAACCGGTAGATCGCTACAGAATTCACTCCATGCGACCGTGACTTACTTTGATAAAGAAGTTTAGAATTTGCTCCAGGAAAGTCCTTACTCTAATTCCAAGCTATTGTAGTTTGTTTTTAATAAAGTTTTGTTGGATTGGGTCAGAGCACGTTCAGTAAACACAATTTGTCTCTCAGCTATGTTAAACTTAGATATCTGGAAATTAGTCCTGTTAAGAATAATACAACTTTACCAGAATGGCATCCAACCAAAAAACATCTGCTGGCTGGTTTCGTAAGGCTCAGTTCTTGTTTAATAGGGAAGGCATGGAAACCTCCGAACTGTCCAACCTTGTGAGACAAACAAAAGTGATTGAAGGCGGGCAATGAAAGAAGCATGAACGTCCACAAGAGTAGAGTAAGGCTACTTGATTGAAGAGGCTATGCCTACTGAAGTGGGAAAGGGCAAAGCTCACAGGCAGAGCAGTCCTTGGACCCTTCAAGTGAGGCTGCAAAATTTCCTGGGTTGAATATGGATGAGAGACTGCTTCATCCTGCTGCCATCTGGATATATCTGATGGCAACTGCCTTCATTCCCAAGTTAGTCCACGGTGGCTAGACAAATGCTGAGAGTTATAGTCTAACAGGGGATGTTAGCTTGGGAAGATGAAAGACTGTAGATCAGGGAGCTCCAACCTTGGCGACTCTAAGACTTGTGGACTTCAGTTCCCAGAACTCCCCAGCCAGTTCATCTTCATCCTGGATGAACTCCTGGGATGGCTTACACACATCATACGTCTGGAAATTATCACAGTAGCTTGTACAAGGAAGCTTTTTTCTGTGGGAAGCTTTTTTCCAGGGACATTTCTGCAGAAATGCAGGCAACATTCACTGTCCGCAATGACCTCAGGCAAAGATTGGGAAAGAGTTATTTTCTGCCAAAATCTAGAATTCCTTTGCCCCAGTCTGGAAACACTCTAGTTGTGTGGACTTCAGCCGCCAGAATCCTTCAACAAAGTCTAGCCAGCACTTAGGATTCTGAGCATTATACTTTACATCTCTGGAAGATGCTCAGGTTAGAGTATTCTAGTTAATACTTTCCTACATAGGGTTATGACTTGATAGTAAGTACATATTAAATTATATAGTTTGGTTTTGGCTTAGTGTAATGTGAGAAGAAAATCAATGATTATATTATGGTTTATTTTC